TGTAGTCCCAGGCAATCTGCTTTCCATCCTTCCAGGGTAGCTTTAGTGGCCCCATCAGGACGCTTTTGACTTCCATCAGACCTCTGATTTGGGGGTTCCTTTGGGAGCTGGGCACGGGCCCTGTGGTGAGGCTTCTCTTTATTATGTCATTGATCTCCTCATGTCTGGCATACTTCCCTTCTGCTGTGTGGCACACGAGACCTGAAGTCCGAATTGATCAGCTGTCGCCCTGCCGCAAAATCACCTATGTTCGGTGAGGATGGGGGGGGCTAGGCGAAGAGCAACACCAATCCGAATGGCCTGGGGGTCGAGAACGGGTGCCCGGGGAGGAATTGGGAACAGCTAACAGGAAATCTCCTGAGTGTGGTCCCTTTTACTGCCAGGAGACGAGCTTTGTTTTTTTCCCTGAAGCTTTTGGAGAGCATTGTTTTTGGCGATTTTTCCATGATCGGTTTGTCCCAGTGGGACTGTTCGTGCTGTTTGGGAGGAGCTGGTCTACTGGAGGAGTCTGTAAGGGTGTCCCACCGAATCGCTGCTTCAGTAAACCTAGGGTCTTGAGCTCCTCCCAAGTCTCTCAAGCGTTCGGGCACTACTTCTTGACTAATGCACTGGAACCCAAAAACACGAAGACAGAAAACAGGTAAAGCAACATGTGTTGCTTTACGCACCCTATACCTCCCAGTCGCACGGGGAGGGTTGCCTGACCCCATTGCCATCCTCTAGTGACGGGTTTCAGTGCCTTAAAAGTTGATCTCGGGTGTGCGTCATATTCATCGAGTGTTGGGTTGTCAAAAGAGGGTGCAACACCTCAAGAAGTAAGTGAGTCTTGGCATAGTAAGACACCTTGTGAGGAGATACAGAGCATCATGGGCATCAAGATCGCTTATTCTCTCCTCCATTCTCATCAGGTCATTCAATTTGTCCCCCGAGGACAGTATCGATGGCCTGGTGACCCAGCGGTGCCCCCAAGAGGGTAATGTTGGCGGAGTTGTAGTTGAGACTTCTGGGAGGATTCTTCGCACAGCATTGATTATTTCCTGGTTCGCTGTGATGATTTCACACTTGGAGGGATTGAGGTGAGGCCCAAGTCTTTTTCCCTGTGTTTTCACCAGTTGTAGGTCCCCCACGAGGGACCTTCAGTACTGCCAAAGTGTCGTCATCCAGGTACCAGATATTTAGCTCACTGTGTAGGGGTGGAAGTTAGTTCTTTACAGCCAAGCAGAAGAGAAGTGGAGCGAGTGGGTCACCCTGCTGAACAATAAATATATATATATAAAATTTTTATATATATATATATATATATATATATATATATTATATATATATATATATATATAATATATATATATATATATCGTGCTGAATAGGCAGAACTTGCGATCTTGGCTTAAATAGCAACGCTATCTTGCCATATAGGACAAGTGAAAATTTGTGTATGCAATAATTTCGCCAAAATCATTCTGAACCTAACGAAAAAATTATTTGATTGTGTTTGTTTAGTACTAAATTTTTGTTAAACGTATTTAAAATATATTTTGTTGGGTTAGGCTAAAATAAATTGGCTCTTGTTTAAATAAGGTTTGGTAAGTTTTTCTAAGATTCTTTTGGTGCAAAATTAAAATTTTTTACATTAACATTAATGAAAAAAATATATCTTTAAATGTATAATTTACATTAACATTTAAAAAAAAAAAAATATCTTTAAATGTATAAGAGAAAATTTCGAAAGGGCTTAATTTTAAATGAGTTCTTGCTAATTGACCCGTTTTACAAATTAGTCACGAAACACACACACCCCACACAAAACACACACACATATATATACATACATTATATATATATATATATATATATATATATATAAATATTATATTAATATATATATATATAATATATATATATATATATATATATATATGTATGTATATATATGTGTGTGTGTGTATGTATATACATGTATATATGAAAATTGGGATATTAGTTTCCATGTGATAGCTTGTGAATGTCATTTGATTAATATTAAATCTTCAACGCTGATATTACTGAATTGCATTAGTAGCTTATTCAGCACTCTTTAATATTCATTTTACGTACATTGAGGTAGAGGGGGCTGGGCTTGACACATGCGGATACCTTTGTCGTATCTCTCAGCAACCGAAACACATCTAGTGTTTATGTATCACTCAACTTTTATTTATAAATAGCATTATCATTATCATTACCACCATTTCATCCAGTCACCACCGTCACTACTACTATCCTCCTGTCGTGATTAACCAACACACGTATATTCATTTTTTTTTTTTGCAACTGTGGAATATAAATAAAAAAAAAATTCTTTTAAAATAAGATCTGACCTGCATATGCGTAGCAACATCTGGGTCAGTGAAGGGAGCGTAGCAGCAAGACTTGGTCATCTGTGTTCTTGTACTTTGTGTCTAGTGTATTGTTGCGTGTGTGGTGCTGTGTAATTATACTCTGGTGACCCCTGACGTGTTGACCCGTTAGATAAGATTTTCTCCAGGTTTACGCACCACAAGTCTTGTGTGTATGTAGGTCAGAGGTGACCTAGTTTTACTGACGCAGAGTTGTGTGAAATTTGTATATTCAGTTTGTGTTTTCCTGTGAGTGAGTCAGGAGTTCAGACGTTTGAGCTGTATCCCAACTGTAGAATGGCTTTTATATTAACTTTGTTGTGTGTGTGTGTGTGTGGGTGTGTGTGTGTGTGTGTGTGTGTGTGTGTGTGTGTGTGTGTGTGTAGGTTCCTACTTAATTACGACTTTGAGTTTACGTAGGTTGAGCTCTGGCTTAACTTACGTAAACATCTTTTATGAATTTAGATTGAGCAAAGTGAGTTAGAACTCCCGTATTTGCTTTTCATTCTTTGCTTCGTCCTGATCTGCCAGGAAGAGAGAGAAAATGAGAATGAGTGAGAATAAGAATGTGAGGGAGAGTTAAAAGAGGATGAAGAGGAATAAGAGGAAGAATAAGAGTAAGAGTAAGAATAATCACTAAATCCCATCCCTGGCAACACCCCCCCACTCTTCATAGATCTGAACTTACTCCCTGTTCAGTACATCCACACTTACTACTGTGCAATCTACATCTACAGGACCTTAAATTCCAATATTAACCTTGACCTAAAACGCTTTCTTGATAGTTGTGACAGAACCCACAGGCATAACACCAGACACAAACATCTCTATGACATTCCCTGTGTCCGACTAAACCTTTACAAAAATTCAATGTATGTCAAAGACCCTAAAATCTGGAACACCCTACCTGAAAATTCTAAAACTGCAGACACATTCATCACCTTCAAAACTACCATCAGTAAACATCTTATCTCCCTGATACACCCTGTCAACTTATTACACGAATACCACCTGGTGGTTCACACTTACACACACACCCATTTGACCATAAACAGAAATATCAATCTCAATCTCAAAATAATGAATCTTAACTAGTCATAAGTTGGCCTGTGATACTCCAATACTGAAACTATGTATAGCGCCAAAACAAAAGCATTCACATTGCTAAACTCACAACTAGTATTTAGTCACTTAGCCATAATACCAACTTACCTCATAATTCTGTAACATTTTAAACTTAAGATTTAATCTAAGTCTGCCCGAAATGCCTAGCCATGCTAGGCGTTCTAGTGGTACACTCTGTAATTATTATTTTACTACATGTAAACCACACAATAACCAAATTCTGTAAACTCAGCATTGTAATCCTTATAGAGAATAAACTTTGAATTTGAATTTGAAGAGGAAGGGGAGGTAGGGAGGTGAGGCAGTCAATGGGAAGGAGGACAGGGCTTGTGTCGTGCCTTGGGTGACGTTGCACATTCAAGAAATTATATAGAGAATCCTTGACTGATGGTGACGTAAAAGATATTGTCCAGGTGGAAGTATTCGCGGAAAAATAATTCTGGTCCTTGAAGACATACATCAATGGATTTTCCTCGACGAATAAAGTTGCATTTTTCTATTTTGGAAACACTTCATAAATAAATATTTTTTCTTATTGTCAATAAAATACCGGGTATACGATTGTTACCAAATTAGGCGACATTTATTTCATAATTTGTAAAAAGTCCGTAGTTTAGAGCATTTCCTCCATATTGTAACTAGTGACCCCCTCAAGGGAGGTTCCTTGACGTTGGTGGGGGGTTCTTGATCTATGGAAATGGATCTGTACTCCAGTTCCCTGAATTGAGCCTGAATACCTTCCTTCACCCCCCCACATGCGCTGTATAATCCTACGGGTTTAGCGCTTCCCATGATTATAATCATAATAATGTAACTAGTTCCTTAAATTATTTAACATTGTATAGCTGTTTAGTTGAAGTTTAATTATTTGATTACCAGGCTGAAGATAAGTTTATAAAATACAGTGATTATTTTAAGTACTAAAACTGTGTATTACAATAACAATCTAATATGAAGAAATGATAATGCAAAACTGCACTGATATTTTTAACTTTTATTGGTGGACAGAAATATAATAGTGACAATAAGTGTATGGGTGTGAATGATAATTGAATTTGTATAACCAGGTTGCTTGAGACATTATGTACATTTATGCTCAGTCTGCCTAAACTTACATCAATTTTTTTTTTAACTATTTTTGAAGCAGTTTGCAGTTTTTTAGATCCTTATACACATACTGTCCATGTTCACCTAGCAGTAAATAGGTGCCTGGGTGTTAGCCGACTGTTGTGGGTCTCATCCTGGGGACAAAGTTAAACTAATTTACCCAGAATACTCTGCTTAACCAGAGGTTTTCAATATAGTATGTTACTGATGTCAGCTAAGTCTGTATAAGTTGTACATGTACTTGTAGAAATAAAGGCTATTATTATTATTGTTATTATTATTATTATTATTATTATTATTATTATTATTATTATAGTATTACTAATACCAGTTAAAGAGAACGCGGTGGAAGCTTGTTATTGTAATTAATTATTTAATCATTTATTTTTTCAGACAGGAAGAAAGCGTAAATATTCATCAGTGAAGCTCAAGCGTGAGATTTATCCAGTGGCAGGAGAGTACCATGAACTTATCTCAAAGGTAACACTGGTACTACAAAAAGTGGTGAGGGGTGTGTGCAGATGACCTCACACGACCTGAAAGAGCCAGGTGGTGGTGGGGGTGAGCAGGATGGGTACCCAGCCCACACTAACCCACACTACCTGCCCTCCAGTACTGAACGAGGGCACAACCACTGCGTCTCCCCTGGAGGGCTACACTATTTAGATGACTTGGAGATCCAGTCCCTCCGGAGTACTTCCCTCAGGAGTGGTGATACTGCCGCCACTCTCCCCGTACTACCCGTACCCATACCGACTACGTGATCAGAAACAAAGATACTCAACTTGCAATACACGACTGAAACAAATCATGGAACGTGGTTTTGAACCCATGGAATGAGTCTCAAAACTCCAGGCCAGTGCTGGTCCAGTGGTTAACGCACTGGTCTGTGAGTTTAAGACTCACAGCCCATTCCCTGATATACTAACTTGTTGCACATAGCGTCTATTCATCAGCTTGATACTATTCTTGTTATACATATTTACTGTTATTTCCATGGATAAGCGCTAAACCATGGCAATACAGCCCCTGGAAGCTGGGAGGTAATCAGGGCTCTAAAGGGAAGGTAGCTCCAATTTCTTGGAACAAGAGCCGGTCACCATCACTAAGACACCCTTTTAGAATTATTAATCCAGACCACTAAAACACTAAGGTCATAAAGGAGACAGTAACAATGGAGTGGTACAAAGTTATACATTTTTGTTATCGCAACCATCGGTGGATGGTATGCACGCCATACCCATCCTGTGGTGTAGTCCACGCCATACCCATCCTGTGGGTGGTAGTCACGCCATACCCATCCATTGGGTGGTAGTCACGCCATACCCATCCTTGGGTGGTAGACACGCCATACCCCATCCTGTGGTGGTAGTCACGCCATACCCATCCTGTGGGTGGTAGTCACGCCATACCCATCCTGTGGGTGGTAGTCACGCCATACCCATCCTGTGGGTGTAGTCACGCCATACCCATCCTGTGGGTAGTCACTGCCATACCCATCCATGTGGGTGGTATCACGGCCATACCCATCCTGTGGGTGGTATCACGCCATACCCATCCTGGGTGTATCACTCCATAACCCATCCTGTGGGTGGTAGCACAGCCATACCCATCCTGTGGATGGTAGTCACATCATACCCATCCTGTGGGTGGTAGTCACACCATACCCATCCTGTGGGTGGTAGTCACGCCATACCCATCCTGTGGGTGGTAGTCACGCCATACCCATCCTGTGGGTGGTAGTCACGCCATACCCATCCTGTGGATGGTAGTCACATCATACCCATCCTGTGGGTGGTAGTCACGCCATACCCATCCTGTGGGTGGTAGTCACGCCATACCCATCCTGTGGGTGGTAGTCACGCCATACCCATCCTGTGGGTGGTAGTCACGCCATACCCATCCTGTGGGTGGTAGTCACGCCATACCCATCCTGTGGGTGGTAGTCACGCCATACCCATCCTGTGGGTGGTAGTCACGCCATACCCATCGTGTGGGTGGTAGTCAGCCATACCCATCCTGTGGGTGGTAGTCACGCATACCCATCCTGTGGGTGGTAGTCACACCATACCCATCCTGTGGGTGGTAGTCACGCCATACCCATCGTGTGGGTGGTAGTCACGCCATACCCATCGTGTGGGTGGTAGTCATGCCATACCCATCCTGTGGGTGGTAGTCACGCCATACCCATCCTGTGGGTGGTAGTCACGCCATACCCATCCTGTGGGTGGTAGTCACGCCATACCCATCCTGTGGGTGGTAGTCACGCCATACCCATCCTGTGGGTGGTAGTCACGCCATACCCATCCTGTGGGTGGTAGTCATGCCATACCCACCTGTGGGTGGTAGTCACGCCATACCCATCCTGTGGGTGGTAGTCACGCCATACCCATCCTGTGGGTGGTAGTCATGCCATACCCATCCTGTGGGTGGTAGTCACGCCATACCCATCCTGTGGGTGGTAGTCACGCCATACCCATCCTGTGGGTGGTAGTCACGCCATACCCATCCTGTGGGTGGTAGTCACGCCATACCCATCGTGGGTGGTAGTCACGCCATACCCATCCTGTGGGTGGTAGTCACGCCATACCCATCCTGTGGGTGGTAGTCACGCCATACCCATCCTGTGGGTGGTAGTCACGCCATACCCATCCTGTGGGTGGTAGTCACGCCATACCCATCCTGTGGGTGGTAGTCACGCCATACCCATCCTGTGGGTGGTAGTCACGCCATACCCACCTGTGGGTGGTAGTCACGCCATACCCATCTGTGGGTGGTAGTCACGCCATACCCATCCTGTGGGTGGTAGTCACGCCATACCCATCCTGTGGGTGGTAGTCACGCCATACCCATCCTGTGGGTGGTAATCACGCCATACCCATCTTGTGGGTGGTAGTCACGCCATACCCATCCTGTGGGTGGTAGTCACGCCATACCCATCCTGTGGACGGTGGTCACACCATACCCTTCCTGTGGATGGTAGTCACGCCATACCCATCCTGTGGGTGGTGGTCACGCCATACCCATCCTCTGGATTGTAGTCACACCATACCCATCCTGTGGATGGTAGTCACATCATACCCATCCTGTGGGTGGTAGTCACGCCATATCCATCCTGTGGGTGGTAGTCACGCCATACCCATCCTGTGGGTGGTAGTCACGCCATACCCATCCTGTGGGTGGTAGTCACGCCATACCCATCCTGTGGGTGGTAGTCACGCCATACCCATCCTGTGGGTGGTAGTCACGCCATACCCATCCTGTGGGTCGTAGTCACGCCATACCCATCCTGTGGGTGGTAGTCACGCCATACCCATCCTGTGGGTGGTAGTCACGCCATACCCATCCTGTGGATGGTAGTCACATCATACCCATCCTGTGGGTGGTAGTCACGCCATACCCATCCTGTGGGTGGTAGTCACGCCATACCCATCCTGTGGGTGGTAGTCACGCCATACCCATCCTGTGGGTGGTAGTCACGCCATACCCATCCTGTGGGTGGTAGTCACGCCATACCCATCCTGTGGGTGGTAGTCACGCCATACCCATCCTGTGGGTGGTAGTCACGCCATACCCATCGTGTGGGTGGTAGTCATGCCATACCCATCCTGTGGGTGGTAGTCACGCCATACCCATCCTGTGGGTGGTAGTCACGCCATACCCATCCTGTGGGTGGTAGTCACGCCATACCCATCGTGTGGGTGGTAGTCACGCCATACCCATCGTGTGGGTGGTAGTCATGCCATACCCATCCTGTGGGTGGTAGTCACGCCATACCCATCCTGTGGGTGGTAGTCACGCCATACCCATCCTGTGGGTGGTAGTCACGCCATACCCATCCTGTGGGTGGTAGTCACGCCATACCCATCCTGTGGGTGGTAGTCACGCCATACCCATCCTGTGGGTGGTAGTCACGCCATACCCATCCTGTGGGTGGTAGTCATGCCATACCCACCCTGTGGGTGGTAGTCACGCCATACCCATCCTGTGGGTGGTAGTCACGCCATACCCATCCTGTGGGTGGTAGTCATGCCATACCCATCCTGTGGGTGGTAGTCACGCCATACCCATCCTGTGGGTGGTAGTCACGCCATACCCATCCTGTGGGTGGTAGTCACGCCATACCCATCCTGTGGGTGGTAGTCACGCCATACCCATCCTGTGGGTGGTAGTCACGCCATACCCATCCTGTGGGTGGTAGTCACGCCATACCCATCCTGTGGGTGGTAGTCACGCCATACCCATCCTGTGGGTGGTAGTCACGCCATACCCATCCTGTGGGTGGTAGTCACGCCATACCCATCCTGTGGGTGGCAGTCACGCCATACCCATCCTGTGGGTGGTAGTCAGCCATACCCATCTGTGGGTGGTAGTCACGCCATACCCATCCGTGTGGGTGGTAGTCACGCCATACCCATCCTGTGGGTGGTAGTCACGCCATACCCATCCTGTGGGTGGTAGTCACGCCATACCCATCCTGTGGGTGGTAATCACGCCATACCCATCTGTGGGTGGTAGTCACGCCATACCCATCCTGTGGGTGGTAGTCACGCCATACCCATCCTGTGGGATGGTGGTCACACCATACCCTTCCTGTGGATGGTAGTCACGCCATACCCATCCTGTGGGTGGTAGTCACGCCATACCCATCCTCTGGTTGTAGTCACCCATACCCATCCTGTGGTGGTAGTCACTCATACCCATCCTGTGGGTGGTAGTCACGCCATATCCATCCTGTGGGTGGTAGTCACGCCATACCCATCCTGTGGGTGGTAGTCACGCCATACCCATCCTGTGGGTGGTAGTCACGCCATACCCATCCTGTGGGTGGTAGTCACGCCATACCCATCCTGTGGGTGGTAGTCACGCCATACCCATCCTGTGGGTGGTAGTCACGCCATACCCATCCTGTGGGTGGTAGTCACGCCATACCCATCCTGTGGGTGGTAGTCACGCCATACCCATCCTGTGGGTGTAGTCACGCCATACCCATCCTGTGGTGGTAGTCACGCCATACCCATCCTGTGGGTGGTAGGTCACGCCATACCCATCCTTGGGTGGTAGTCACCCATACCCATCCTGTGGGTGGTAGTCACGTCATACCCATCCTGTGGGTGGTAGTCACCCCATACCCATCCTGTGGGTGGTAGTCACGCCATACCCATCCTGTGGACGGTGGTTCACACCATACCCTTCCTGTGGATGGTAGTCACGCCATACCCATCCTGTGGGTGGTAGTCACGCCATACCCATCCTGTGGGTGGTAGTCACGCCATACCCATCCTGTGGGTGGTAGTCACGCCATACCCATCCTGTGGGTGGTAATCACGCCATACCCATCCTGTGGGTGGTAGTCACGCCATACCCATCCTGTGGGTGGTAGTCACGCCATGCCCATCCTGTGGGTGGTAGTCACGCCATACCCATCCTGTGGGTGGTAGTCACGCCATACCCATCCTGTGGGTGGTAGTCACGCCATACCCATCCTGTGGGTGGTAATCACGCCATACCCATCCTGTGGGTGGTAGTCACGCCATACCCATCCTGTGGGTGGTAGTCACGCCATACCCATCCTGTGGACGGTGGTCACACCATACCCTTCCTGTGGATGGTAGTCACGCCATACCCATCCTGTGGGTGGTAGTCACGCCATACCCATCCTGTGGGTGGTAGTCACGCCATACCCATCCTGTGGGTGGTAGTCACGCCATACCCATCCTGTGGGTGGTAATCACGCCATACCCATCCTGTGGGTGGTAG